CGGCCCCAACACGCACACACATCGTCAACCAGAGGCCACAAAATGCTTAGACTTGCTTTTAAATACTCTACCAGACCCGCTGAGCAAATAAAATAAAAAAAAAAAACTAGAATACATTCCTGCACTACACGAAAGCAAATAAAGTTTATTGTGACAAATGTTTCATGACAGCCAGCCATTTTGTTGCTGTCCACATGTGTCATATGTAGCAGCATGCCCGTGTATGTCTGTGTGTGTGCTCGGGCCAAAGGCATGCGGCTTGACTTGACCAGGTGAGTTAATGTCATGTCAGTGTGTGTCGTGTGTCTGCGAGTGTGTGCAAAGGTATAAATTAAAAAAGAAACTATTGTAATTATCAGAAAACATTAGAAGCGCTTGTTGTCCTTAGTCCTGTGACACAAGATAAATCGACGAAACGGACAAGGTTGTTGTTAGCGAGCGGCAAGTGGGCTTCGAAATAGAATTGCTAAGTGGGCTCTATGCTAAGTATAGAAACAGTTTTTATAATGTTAAATTTGCTTAAAATATTCACTTATATATCAAATGACTTTTTGAATCAATAAACATTAAACAGGTTACTCAAGCGAACTAGAGATAATTATAAATTTGGAAATACTTTTGCATGTTGTATAAGCAGTAGTAAATGGGTTTGGTTTAAGTTCTACATACAGTGCGTATACGTAATATGAGCTTTCGACTGTTTTGCGGGTTCTGATTAGTATATCCGTTGGTGTGTGGGTGTGCATGTGTGTGAAGATTAACAGGTGGATTGTTGTTACACACAAAAGCCCACTCAAGTGGTATTTTAATGGCCTCGCATCGCAGGCCTAGCGCGCGTGCTTGTGAGTGTGTGTGTGTGCGTAGGTGTGTAGCTGTATTCAAAATTTGATACTTGAACAACATTTTGGAGGATTACAATTAAGATGAAAAAGAAATTATTTAAACTTTCTAATAAGCTCTTTACTCCTGTAACTTGATGGGTTTTAAATGTAAGCTCTTAGCTATTGAGTTGAATAGAAACGAATTGCAGTTAATCCAGGTCGATAACAAGTTCTTTGGATGTGAGTATAAGCATACACCCGTTTGATGTGGACACCGCCCATTGTTTACACCTCTTGGCAGGTAGCAAAGAAAGTGAATCAACGCCGTCGCGTCGTCTGCTAATACCTGCATAATTGTTGTGCTAATTTTGCCAGCACGCCCAGTTAATGTTTCTATTGACACCAGCCGTGGGACGCGGGTGCTGTTTGCGGAGACCGGTCATTTAGGTAGTTACAGTAAACTACTGCTACAGTGTGCACTGCTTTGACATTGTTTACGCTTACTTATGGGCTTGGTTGCCTTTGCCGTGGAGCGACCGCCGGCGTAGTCTGCATGGTGATTAAACTAATTTAATGCAGCTACAAACCGCAACAGCAACGACAACAAGCCCGGCCCGGTAGAGGGAAAAGAAAAAGCATTTAAAACATTCAAAGTGTCGCATGAGAAGGACGTTCAAGTCGGAGCCAAACGACAGCCGTTAACGAGCTGACTTCGATAGACGTTACCTTTGCCCTGCCCCTGACCCCAGCTCGTTTTCACTTGCTGCAGACGAATGTGTGGCAAAGTAGCAACTGGCAAGTGGCGAAAAAAAGCAAAAACAAAAATAGAACGAAACAAAGTTTAGCAATAAAAATCTAAATAAAAGCCCGAGTACTGCCAGCGACATGGCGCGGCTGCTAATAAAGTCATTGCTGCATGCTGCCAGGATGGTGCCCCTCCCTCCAAGCGCCCTCACCCTCACCCTGACCCTGCCAATGGGCACGCTAAGGGGCGTCGGTAGCGAGTTCATTAGCAGCAGCTAACATTACAAAGCCTTAGCGCGTTTCAACTGCTCTTGTTGTTGTTGTTGTTGTTGCTGCCGTCTCAGTTGTTGTTGTTGTCCCCCTAGTTTTTCGCACAGTTGCCACAGCCGCTGTTAATTATAGCTGAAACTCGAGGTGAACGCGCGAGGTAGGGGCTAGCGTGCAGCGTCCCTTACTGGAAATTTATAAAAGTTACACGTAGATTGACAGGCAATTTGTTATTGTATTATATTGAGGCGGTTATTTGGCTGCCGCAACTAGCTCTATTGACTGAGTGTAAATGGTAGCGAGTGGCTTCACGTGTGTGTGCGTGTGTGCTTTATACGTGTGTGGCCTGCGGTTTAGCTGTGTGGTTTTTGCAGCAGCGCCAACAATAACAACCACTATTACTACAATAAGCGGCAGCAGCAACAACAACAATAATAATAACAACAATAACAACAACAACGACAACAACAAGTCCTGGCCGTATTCATTAGTGGCCAATTAACCAAAAGCGAATTTTATCCAAAAAGGCAATTATTGTAAATGCGTCGAATTAGACTGGACTCTTCAACGCCAGCATGACAGTTAGTCACATATATTTATTTATGCATATATGTATATGTATATGGACCGCTATTAGCTGTAACCCAATGCAGGTGCTGCACAACAAAAACAGAATACATTGTGGGACATGACCAATTGGTGGTTATTGAATCTAATTGCTATCGCACAAGTTCATAATTCACACGAACCTAAGCATTAGATTGCTGTGTTGGGCTCGACTATGCGATACCCTGTGACATTCTATCACGATAGCTCAAGAAAGACGCGTGTTTCGCAAAGTGAACATTGTCACGCAACTCCTGGAGCCCTTCATATCGCAACATGGCCCTAAGCCACTCTGAATTGCAAGCGGAAATAGCTGCAAGTCCGACAACACAATTTTCATTAAAATCAAAACGTCGTCCTTAAACTCAGAAACGAGTTGCATTTTAATAATGTCTGATAAGATCAGCAGGTCATGCCAACAAATGCTGCGACTCCAGATTATTTTTGCAATTTGTATAAGAATTTTAAGCTGTTATAATTGAACAACTTAATCAATGCACAATTCTGTAATCTATGTAGGGTAACATTTAGTTGACTTTACCTCTACAAAAGAAGCACACTTTTAACAATTTATTATTAGTTTAGGCAAAATAATTGATTGATTATGAGTGGAGAGTTAGGTCAACCGTAATGTCAGCACAAAAAGATTTAATGCCACAGCGATTCGCTGAGTACGTGTACTTAAAGTTGTGTATTTCGTTTTCATTTTCATTTTATTTTCATTTTCCTTTTTCGTGTGCAATTTGTAGTTAACAAAGGAACTGGGACAAATAAAATGTAATGTCATCGAGATAAGTAGCATGCCCCACTAGAGGATTGTAAAGTATCCAAACTCAATATAGCCGGACATAACTATATTAGTCTGCTACGCCATCTCTCTCTTTCTCTCTTGCCAATCCACACTCTCGGCTGAGTAATAAAAAACGCAAGGAAGCATATTCCATTAGATTTGCAGAGGCATCGTATCGCAAGTTATATATATTTATGAATGTAGTCGCTTTCGTTCGGCTACTCCCGCAGCTGGTAATAAATAATGAAAGTATCAAAATGTGTGCGCCACTGAAACAACATGGGTAACAAAGCGCGCGGAGGTCATGGGATACTCGAGCAAAAGTAAAGAGTTGGCCCCCGAAGTAAACAGCAGAGAACTTTGGCATGTTGCAAGTAGCAAGCAGAAAGTAGCTGGCGCCAACATTCCGACTCGTGCGCACATATTTGTGAATAAACATATGAAAAACTATCTTCTGTTACGTTTATGATAATATTTTATTAAAGCAGGAGTAGCAGAGGGCGCAGTAGTCACAGGAGGGCACGAGGTAGGTCGGCCGGTCTGTTGCGTAAAGGTTAACGTCGGAGTTGGTAAGAGAAGTGATAGGTTACGCACACACACAAACTCATACTAGCTACGCCCACTTATTACCAGACACGCCCCGCCAAACGTTTGTCTATTATGTATTTATCGTGCCACGCACTTGCCACTCCTCCTTCTATACGTCTGCCCACCATTCTGTGTGACATGGCTCGCGGTCACAGCTGTTGCTGCCACCGCGGAGACACTTGATGCCATAGATAGCGCAACTTTGCAGAAGCTACGCTGACTTCTGCGGCTTGGCTGTGATAGGCACAACAAAGTTTTCTGTCAGATGTGCCCGTTCCCTAGAAGCTCTGCTCGTTCGAACTAAACTTGTTGCATTGACAGGCAACTTGTAGTGCAAGTTGCGATGTCGATTTGCTGCTGCCGTGCGTTGCATGTCAAAGATAAGAGCATGTTGCAAGTGAACTTTTGCGACACAGTAGTGGAAGGGAATCACAGGATGTGACTCGAGTGGTTATTTTTGCAAATTGCATGTTACCCAAAGAGCAGTCAGTAAGCGTGCTGACAAGCTGCAACTTCAGCAAACGACGTTCACCAGGCACGAGGTACGACGCACCAGGCCCCACGCACATTGCATCCCCAGCTCAACCTGGCCACAATATAAATAGCACTGATTTGTGCTCACAAATGCGAGCGAGACTTCTACGGGTCTTCAGCTATCTGTAACCGACTGCGACGACTTGCTGGCAGCCCAAAAGTTAAGCCCAACCAACCATACAACCCATTTGTTTATTATGAAAATACAGGCGGTCGGGGTGAGGGCGGCTGGATGTGTGTTTTGCTGCTGCCACTGTTACCGCCGCTGCTGCTGCTGCTGCTGCTGTTGCCCACAAAAACCTTAAACTGATGACACACTTCACGTGGAGGTTTTTTGCCTCCGGCCCGCCCAGCGCCCAGCGCTGAGCGCTCAACGCTCGTCTCTCTGCTGCTGTTTCGTAGCTGCATTTCCGCCTGAATGGCGTTTGTGCTTGAAGCAACTAACTGCCTGAGATGGAGTGAGGCAGAGATTGGCGGTGGGGATGGTACTGTAGCTGTTTGTAGCTATCACAAGTGTGTCACCGAGCGAGGCCCAGCCACGTATGCATGTGTGTGTATGTGTACGCCGTACTTAACGTTTTAAAACTCTACTCCGTACATGGCACACTATATTGACTTTGAAGCATAAAAAGCTTTTCTGGATACTCCAATTCACAGGGGGTGGACTCTTTATTACAACCCTCTCAAATGAAGCCTTCATGTGTATATGCATGTGGCATGTGGCAAGTGGCATGTGTGTTGCTGCTGTTTCTGTTTCTGTGTGTCTGTGTGTGTGTGTTCGTTTTGGTTGACTCGGGCAAGCTAGAACAAAGAAACGGGCTAATAACATCCATCTAACAAAACGAGACAGCTTTACGTGGATATTTCTTTGGCTGGGGAAACGACAGAGGTTTCCTGCTGATCTGACGGACTCTGATCAGACTCAAATAAATTGCAAAAGTCCTCTACAAAGCTCTTCAAGCTAACCATGCGGCGATGCATCTGACTAAAGCTGCGCTCATCGAAGATTTTCAAGCGTATTCGATCCTCCATGTCCTTGGTCTCTGAGGCTCGTTCAAAGTAGTCTTTGCGCTGTGTCAAAAGCTTGCTGCACTTGCGACTGCAGCAGGTCACAAAGGTTACCATATCCTTGATCAAGCTTTGAGCCAAGAGATAACGGTTCAAGATTTTCTGCTTCTCTTCAGCTGGATTTGCCTCGACTTGTTCCTTGGCAGTTTGATGTGGCTTGAAGTTGTCAAAAACAAAGGCTTGAAACTTGACCCCAATGGTTAGCAGCTCATCCGTCATGCCTCTCAAGCTATTTATCATTAGATGCAGCAGACCCTGAAATTTGTATGACAATATAAAGATTCTATACGAATAGATTGCTTACATTCATTTCGGTCATGTAATGCAAGTGCGAATAGATGCTGTAATCTGGCCACCAATCTTCGGCAGCGTCTGTGTCATTTGCAGCCTCCGCCTCAGATACAAAACGCGTGGAGACTATTTTACGCAGATTCTCAATCCGCGGCAGCATCAGCTCCACGATAAGGCTGCGCAACTCGGGATTTACAGATAACATCGAGCGATTCGTAGCGATCTTCTCGATCGGATTACTTTCGATTTTTGTAGGCGGCATTTTGGGTGAATTTATTATGGTTTGCAAATAAATTGAAAATATATAACTATTTACTGAGCCCAATGAACTATTTTTCGATTACGACCCGTATCTGAATTTACACACATCTGTTTACTAAATACAATTGACATAAGCGAAAAAGAAGTTTGATATTATAGTAATGTTCATAGCTAGTGTCTACTGTCTTCGAAAAATGTTTCATTAAAGGTTGTAATCCGTTCGTGAATAATCCACTCAATTATTATTTTTCTTTCATTTCATTTGTCATAAGCTAATTCTTAATTTAATAAAAGATTTCAACAATAGCAAATCAAATCGAAAAACGTCCGTTGGCTGCTGTTTGATTATGTATACGCAACGTTTGCCAAAGTATATGTGTTTGCCATAGGGTTTATAAAACTGTCTGAACGAGCACACGTGCAGGACTCTAATACGCAGATAACGTGTTGGTTTATGCAAAATGCAATGTGCGTTTATGTGTGTGTATGTGTGTGTGTGTGCGAGTGTGTGCATTGCTTGCTTTAAGCTAATTGTTGCTGGCGCTTTTACCAAATGCTGGACGCCATTGTTGCAGTTCCGCTTGCTGCTCCTGGTTTTTTTTCGGCTCTCTTCCCTTGGCTCCGTTGGCATAATCCACGTCTATATGTATATATCTATGTATGTATGTATGTATGTATGTATGTATGTGTGTGTTAGTATTCATTGTTTGTGTTTAAACCACAAACAAAAAAAGAAGAAGAAGAAAAAACCAACAGAGCTCGCAGCTAGACGGGATGAACACAGATGCACAGCCAAACGAAGCGACAGAACTTGGTGACAGTTCTGCCAGGCTGTCGGGTTGGCGGGTCTGTCGAGCAGACAGTGGGGCAGTGGTGCAGCACCGGGGCAGCCTGCAAATATGTTGGTGTAACAACTTTCGAGATTTGTGTCAGCTCGTTTGAGAATTAGTCCTAGGTTTTAGTAAAATTAAAAAAATTCTGTCACTTTGTGTGCCTGGCATTTGCCGTCTCATTGTTCTGCCTTTGCGTCTGCAGCCACAATTATGTATATAGGCACAGACGCCCATACACACACACACACATACACAGACAAGCGCAGACACATCTCCCCATATAGACATGCCTGAATAGACTTATAAATGTGTGAAGAGATTTGGTCTTTTCGGTCTGGGTTTGGGAGCTATCGTCAATTATTTATGCGCCGCAAAATGTGCAAAGTAATTTATTCAGATTATATGCAAGAAACAGGAAGCGAACCAAACAAAATAAAAAGGCAGCCAGCTTCAAATAAAATGAAGATGAAGCCCTTTTCAAACGGCCGCCAAGTGTCCAAAGTCAAGTGCACAAAATTAAGCTCTGCACACCTGCCGGATGCTTGGCGGCATCTACCTCAACTTGGCCGTAAAATTTTATGTTGCTATAATTTAGCTTTAAAATCGCACCACACACCCACTCTCCCCCCACCCAGTCAGCGGAGGAGGAGGTGCGTGTGGACGGACAGCACCTTGGCGCACGCACTTAAACGGAAATAAAATAAAATTACAAAAAAGTGGGCAACTTTTTGACGTAGCGATTGTTATCCTTGCCGCCGCTGCTGCTGCTCCTGTAAACGGCTGACAGAAAGTGATTTAGAAACTATGCCAATGCTGCTCTTGCTGTTGCTGTAGCTGGCCCGCTACAGTTATTCAGGGGCTGCGCTGCGGCGTTGGGGTACTCAGTTTGTCGGCCCGTTGGCAGCCATAAAGCTGAATTTAAATTTGGTATTTTTTGCCGGGTCTCGTTTTCATTTGTGCCGCATAAAATATGCCATTGAAATTTGCAATTGAAATTGAAATGGAAATTGAAGTGCCTTAACAACTCTTGACTTGTAAATAAACGTTTAAGACATAAGAGTGTATTGCAGCTTAAATCAATATAGCAATTGGTTGCACAACTTCACATGTGCCCAGCAGAGAGAGGCTGACTTATTGGCCCGCTTAAAGTTCTGCTTGTCTCTGCCAATATGCCAAGAATGTCGGAATGGCGTTTACATATTTAATGCGCTCTAACTGGCTTAATCAGAATTACAAAGTAATTAGAGTTAATTCCTTTGTACCTGAACGCTTTTCATATGCCCGCTACTTCTTCTCACTGTCCCTGTTTCCCTCGCACACACACACACACACACACACCTGCCGTTAGCACACGACATTTTTGTCTTGCGAGAATGATGCTGAGAATATTTGTAAACTGTTGCGTGGCAATTTGCATGGTTAATTATCTATTAACCTGCGCATAACTTTTACACAAGCGGATGGATGGGGGCCAGCTACCTGCTACTTGTAGATATTAACACACACACACTGCCGCAGAGAGTCGCATACCAACAGAGCACCGCTCACGCAAGACAAATATGTATGTATATCCGTTTCCGCTTGCTGCTGTGTCGCTGCCATTGTCGCGGTCTCTTTCCTGTTTTTGTTATATAAGAGGCAGACAACAAGCGAAGAGAGGAAACAGAATGGGGAGCGGTTATAAAAACAAGTTATGCTAATCTTAATGCGATGCCATTTTCAGTTGCCATTCACAATTTAAAGCAGTCCTTTTGTTCTGCTGCCGCTGGTGGCATCGTCGTCATGCCGCTGCATGCCGTAATTTATGCTTATTAAATATTTGTGCTTAATTAAAATTTAATTTTAACTACACAACAGCTGCCTGCAACTGGCAGCTCCCAGCCAACAACTGACAAAGTGAGTTCCAGGTCGAGATTTGGGACCGTCACGGATGTTACTCAAGAAAGGATATTCAGCAATTATTTTTCCCAGTTACCCAGTTAAAAATAAAACCATATTCATTGGCATATCTATCTTGACATTTGACTGGGCTTATTTGGTGTTTTATCTGGGTTTATTGTGACTGATGATGGTTTCCACTGTGATGTGCATAACTAATTAAGAAAGGAAGAGAACTTCGCTCTGCTATTTCTGTGGTCGAGGAAGCCAACAGAGCTCGACCAGAAACAGTAAATAATTATTGCATTTAATGATATTTTCGGAAAGAAGGTTTTGGCATTTAAACTATTTTTGAAGCGATCAAATGCAAGGTGAATTTTTCAATACTTTTTTGCGGATGCTGTGCGAAAACAAATACAAGGGAAGCCCTTTCTAATTGAACCATTTGGGCGTAGAAGGATACTTATAATCAATTTGAACCCTTTTCGCTTAATTTTTAAGGGGCCGCAATCATCCTCAATCGATCTACATTATTGACACATTTTTGACAAATTGCCAGGCTGCATGGATTCCGTTTGCGGGCAGTGTCCTTTCCTTTTTTATATCAGAAACGTGTCTGGCATCCTAGAACGAAAGGAACTAGTCACAAAAGGTTGCATACCTTTCGACCCGACTGGGGAAGCAGGTCAACGGTGTGTTATATTTGTTTGTTTTACTCTCAATGCGAACCCTTGTCAAGTGCAACCCCCGCTGCTGGCTTTGCTGTCGTGCTCCTGACGTTCATTTCTGACTGCTCTTCTGGCATGTCCTTGCTCCGCTTTGGCGCCTCTGCCCTGCTCTGGTGGCCTTAATTATGTGCGGCCCAAGACAAAATCAAATGCACACGCCACTCACATGCACAGAGTCCTTTCCTCACCGTTCCACCATTCCACCGCTCCACCGCTCCACCGTTTCGTCGCAGCCTAGTTAATTGCTCGTGGCGCCACTTGACCGAGCTGCTGCATTGCAGCACGCTGCCTACTGGTTACGTTTACGTTTAGGCTGACAGCTTAAACTAACTGCCTCACCTACGACTTCGGCCAGCAGACAAGACTTTACTTTGGGTCGCCTCTGGGCGACTTTTGATTATTTAAAGAGACTCGGCGACCATTGTCTGGGCTTGACCTCCGCTTGCCTACCCCTACCGCTCGGTTCTCTTGTTTATTTATTTGCCAATGCCTTTTCGTTGGTGCCTTGCCCATGTCTTTGTCTGCCTCTCTGCGTTGTCATGCACAATCTTGCCCAGAGCTTGCTTTGATGTTTTCCTATCAGCAGTTCATCGTTCTCGACTCGTGTACTCAGACCCTCAAGAAAGGGTTCAAATTACGAGTACTGATTTGGACTAACTCAAAGGGTTAGCCGTTGTTGACGTTGCTCTTTGGTCAATTGTCACGTGGCACTTTGAAGCACGTTCCCAGCCGACTTCTGAGACATTTTCTTTGTGCCGAAAATCTCAGTTAATGGGAAATTCATTTTTTCTGCTAAAATCTGGGCAAACATTTTCATTCTTCTAGACATTTGCTTAAGACAAGTTATTTAATTGTAGGACACTCTTTCGATTTCTTTTCGCAGTCCAGTTAGCAGCTTAAGCTGGATCGGATGTGTATGTGTATGTCCTTGTATAAAGCTGTCAATTCATAGAAATGCCTGTGGCCAGCAGGTAATTGTGAATGTCGCCCCCCAGCGGGAGAGTGCGGTGATAAACGAACGGAACAAGAAATAATGACCCACACCCCAAAACTGCCACATCCAGCTACTTAATTTCCGTTTCTAGTGAATTTCTTTGCGGCTAATTTTGTTGCACAAACACTCACCCACACACACACACAGAGAGTGGCAGCGGCTTGAAAGCAGAACTGGGCCACTCACACAGAGACAAATTTGTATAAGTGGCTCTGACTGTATATAAATTATATGTTTTCCAGTCCTGTGGTGACTGAAAGTTAGGTTGAGAGGCGACTGTGCCTCTTATTGCTGGCCTCGGGCTCAGACAATGAAATGAGCCATTTAACGAGCAAATGACGGAGTGAATATTTATTTAAGCGGTTTACTGGAAGAACGCTTTTTAACCCTGCTTTTAATTGTTCTTTTTTGAATAATCGAAACAGTTAATTTTATTGGTTTTTCTTATTATATTCACTATTTTTAGTTTTACTTATATGACACCAATTTTTAGCATGTCCTATCAGTACGAGTTAAAACACGAGACTGATCTATATTTTTACAAATCATAGCCTCACCGGCGTAAGTAGAGTTGCCCTTGCCAGGGCTGTTCCTTAACTTGTCTAGCACCCGATAATAAGTGTTGAATAATACCTAACATTAAGTGTTATAAGCTAACTAAGTGTTATAAGTTAACTACCCCCCCCCTCAAGT